AAGTAACTTGATAAGTGTAGGTCAATTACTTGCAAAAGGCTTCAATATGAAGTTGGAGAATAATCAGACGAAGGTATATATGGCTGGTGAGAGGCTAATCATGAAAGCACCATTGGCGGAGAACAAAAACTTCAAAGTCGAACTCAATACATCAGATGACAAATGTCTTGCTTCAACTGCAGAAGAAGACAAGAACTGGCTATGGCATCACGGGTATGGACATCTAAACTTCAAAAGTTTATGTATGCTCAATTAGAAGGAAATAGTGCTTGGGTTGCCGTATGTGAAGGAACCAAAGTAGATATGTGAAAAATGCTGCAAAGCTAGGCAGGCAAGGAAGGCATTCAAACGTGATTTGCCTATAAGGTCAAGGCAAAAACTGGAGCTGGTTCATTCAGATGTGTGTGGACCTTTTGAAGTAAAGTCCAATGGAGGTAACAAGTATTTCCTTACTTTCATTGATGAATTCGCTAGGCATATGTGGATTTACCTTATTGAAAGGAAGAGTGAGGTATTCACACAGTTCAAGAAGTTCAAGTTGCATGTTGAGAAACAAAGTGGCTGCAAATTGAAAAAGTTAAGAACTGATGGTGGTGGTGAATATACTTCAGTAGAATTTTCCAGATTTTGCAATGAGGAAGGTATAAAGCATGAGGTTGTTGCACCCTATACGCCTCAGCATAATGGCATCGCTGAGAGAAAGAATAGAAGTGTATTGAACATGACCAGATGTATGTGAAAGCTAAGAATATGCCTAAGAGATTTTAGGCTGAAGCAGCTTCGACAACAATATACATTCTAAACAAATGCCCAACGAAGAAGATGGTCGAAAAGACACCACATGAGGCTTGGACAGAGTCGAAGCCAAATGTAAGTCATCTTAGAATTTTTGGATCAATGTGTTTCAGGCATGTACATGAACAATTGAGAAAGAAGTTGGATGATCGAAGTAAAGCCATGGTGCTCATATGTTATCATTCGACTGGTGCATACAAGTTATATTCACTAATCGAAGATAAACTAGTAATCAATAGAGATGTTCTTGTAGACGAAAGCAAAGGATGACATTAGAGTCGAAGTGCAGTTCAACAAGAATCAGACACAGTCACAACTGTGTTCGAAGGAGATGAAGCTTCGACAAGTCAAAGTAAACAAGGTGATACTTTGACTGGTCGAAATGAAGAACCACCTGTGCAGAACAAAAGAAGATCCACAAGAACGAGAATTGAGTCAACTAGGTTGACTGGATATAAGAGGTTTCCAGATCGAGCAATAGATGCTGATGGTGACTTAATCGAAGAAGCCATGATGATGGCTGAAGTAGAACCAATTAACTTGGGTGAAGCCTTGAGCAATTCGAATTGGTGTGAAGCCATGGAAGAAGAACTTAGAGCCATTGAGAAAAACAACACTTGGGAACTTGTTGAAAGAACCAACAAGAAACCAATTGATGTGAAATGGATCTACAGGGTGAAACAAAGGCCAGATGGTGAGATTGTAAAGTACAAGGCAAGATTGGTGGCCATAGGTTTTCTACAACAACCAGGTATTGACTTCGATGAAGTGTATGCGCCTGTTTCTAGGATCGAAACAATCAGGATTGTTATTTCGATAGCTGCATATAGAGGATGGAAAATGCACCAACTTAATGTGAAGTCAGCATTTTTGAATGGGCCTCTGGAAGAAGAAGTCTATGTCACTCAATCACCAGACTTCGATGTCAAAGGGCAAGAGTCGAAGGTTTATAGATTGAGGAAGGCTCTCTATGGCTTAAAGCAAGCTTCTAGAGCTTGGAATAAAAGGATAGATAGCTTCCTAATCGAAGCAGGGTTCACAAAGTGTGTCTCTGAACATGAAGTGTATGTAAATGATGTCGAAAGTGCCAATCGAATCATTTTATGCCTCTATATTGATGACTTACTCATTACTTGAGCAGATGAAGCTGAGATAATGAAGGTAAAGTCAAAGTTAATGCAAGAATTCAAAATGTCGGATTTAAGGAATCTTTCCTACTTCCTGAGAATGGAATTCAAAGACATCGAAGGAGAAGTTTTCTTGCATCAAACGAAGTATGCTCAAGATATATTGAAGAGGTTCAATACGAGCAATTGTAAGGTAGTTATTACTCCATTAGAGACCGAAGCAAAGCTGAAGAAGGAATCAAATGATGAGTTTGTAAGTTCGACCCTTTACAAACAAATCATTGAATCGTTGAGGTATCTTTGCAATAATAAACCAAATATCTATCAAAGTGTAGGATTGTTGAGCAGATTTATGGAGAAGCCTCATGAATGTTATCTCATTGCAGTAAAGAGGGTGTTGAGATACATCAAGGGAACTGTTGATCATGGTGTGCTATTTCCAAAAGGATCGAAGAACAATACAGAGGTCGAAGTGCATGGATACACTGACTCAGATTTCAGTGGAGATCTAGATGAAAAAAAGAGTATTGCAGGGTACATTTTCATGATCGAAGGAGATCCAATCTCCTGGAGTTTGAGGAAGCAAAGCATTGTGGCTTTGTCTTCATGCGAAGTAGAATATGTGACTGCATCATATGTTGCATGCCAAGCACCATGGATCAAAATGCTACTTGAAGAGCTCAGAATAATGGAATCGAAGATGAAGCTGTTTGTTGATAACAAGTCAGCAATAAATCTTGCGAATCATCCAATGTGTCATGGTCGAAGTAAGCACATTGAATGAATGTATCATTTTCTGAGAGACCAAGTAAACAAAGGGAAGCTTGAAATAGAACATTGCAAGACAGAAGTGCAACTAGCTGACATATTCACCAAATCTCTGAAGAAAGTGAAATTCGAAGAGTTAAAGAAAGGCATTGGGATGAGAAGTCTTGATAACATGAATTAAAGGGGTGTGTTAGTTGGTTAATTTTTGTTAGTCGTTATTTGGGCTTTAGCATGTATTTGGGCATGGGCATGTTGCCTATATAAATGGCCATTACTTTGTAATAAAATGCAGTAATAATAATAATATATTCAGTTTCAAGAGTTAGTTACAGTGACTAACTCAGTAATCTCTCTCTCTTCTTCTCTCTTCTTCTTCTTGTTTTTCATAATATCCAACACACCTAAAATCTTAAGATGATATGTGTATGGATTATCACACTTATAATTTTTTCTTCTTCTTTCTAATCAATGTCAAACTTCTTCCTCAAACTTAATTCTCAACATATAAGACACTATGTAATTCATATCATACATTAAACTTCATTTGTTAATATATCCATATATTTAAATTGAAAAAAAAAACTACTATGTATCTATTAAAAATCAATGGCATAAAATTTTCTAAATTGCTATTTTATCACAAATTTTTTACATTAAGAAAATGATATTTAGGTAATATATTATCTATCTATTAAAAATCAATTAAATGAACTTTCTAAATGGTCCTTTCATCACAATTTTTCTACGATAAGAAAAGATATTTAAATAATCAAGTAATATTTATTTTTTTCTTTCCCATTTTCTATTACAATATGACATGTGACATTCATTTTTCAACTTTCATCAATTAAGTCACAATTAAATATTACACACACTCATTCTCTCTTGATTAAAATTTTAAATCTCTCTCACATTTTTCCCCCACACTTTCTCATTTTCATTTTAATTTTTTTCTTTCTATTTATTTATTATCACTAAAAATACTAATAATTTATTTTTTAATTTTTATAAAATTAAAAAATTTATTTATCTCACGAATCACTATCAATACAATATCTATTTTATTTTAGTCAACTATTGCGTTAATTTGAGACACAAAATTCTTTTTTTTTCTTTCTCCATATCGTGATTCCATTTTTTATGATTATTTAATATAATTAAATTATATAATTATTATTCATATTACAATTAATTTAATCATTTCAAATTTTGCTTTTATATCTAAAATATTTTATATCACATCATATAATTTTTTTAGCCCATGAATCTTTATCAGTACAATGTCTATTTTATTTTAATTAACAATTATTTTTATTTGAGAGAGAATTTTTATTTTCAAATATTAAAATTTTATTTTTTTCTCTCTATCTCACAAGCCTTTTTTATATAATTAGTTAATACAATTGAATTTATACGATTATTATTCATTTATAATTAAATCACTCATTTTAAATTTATATATATTTAAATATATTTTATACAATATCAAATAAATTTAATTGTTAAAAACACATATATCTTACTAATATTGTTCTAATAAACTTTTTTTCAATCATAATTTTAACTATATTTATAACCTTATAACAAAAAAACAGTTTATAGTGTTAAGTGTTAACTCAACCATTCAATAAAAAAGTTTGTTAGCAAATAAAAATATTGTTACTTATTAGACCGGGCATTGATGAAGATGGTGGCATAGCATCTCATGATGATGATGATGATGGTAAACACATAGTACATAGATGCATGATGCATAGTTGCACATAGAGTAACATGACATGGCATCGAGTGTCTGAGAAGAGAGGAAAATATCATGGCCACGTATGCAGTCGATCTAGGCTTCTCATCTCAGGGCTGTAAAAGATCTTCTCTCTCCACTTGTTTTTTTCTTTATCATCTCCATTTCCAACTATAAACTTACCACCACAACACAACCTCTTCTCATGATTTTCTTTCTCCCTTTCATTCTTCACAAATCATTCTAACTCCATTTTTTTTTTTACAACAATATTCTCATCTCCACTGTTGCATCTCTTAACCCTCCCAATTCTGGAAATTTCTCTACCTCTAACCACACAGGTACATATATTTCTTTCTATTTTTCAAAACTTTTCTATTATGAATCTGACCTGTTCTTAGATATATTTGGGGTTTTATTTATTTTTTATTTTTTATTTTTTCTTATTTTTTTTTCTAGAACCTTCTGAATATCAGCTGATATATTTTTCTTTTGAATGTTTTAATTTTTTTGTAAATTTCATTTTGCTCTATTTGCCTGGACTCTGTTTCAGATTCATCCTTATATTTTCATCATTTAAATAAAATTAAAAAAAAAATATTTATAAAGTTTACAGATTCAACCTCAACATAGCAACCTAGTTGTTGGAGTGAATAGCTACAATTTTCTTTGAGATGCATTTTATTGCTGTATTCTGTCAAAACAAAAATTGTTTTTATTTTTGAGGAGGATGATGATGAAATATTGGTAACACAGGGATTGGAACGGTGAATTATATTATTTTCATACTTGATTGGTAGCATCTTTTGGATGGATTTGGGATAAAATTGCTTTTCATATATAATCAGAACCAAAACAAGTTTTTGATGGCTTCTACTATGGCTGCTGCTACAAGTGAAAGGTGGATTGATCGTCTTCAATTTTCCTCACTGTTTTGGCCTCCACCACAAGATTGTCAGCAGAAAAAGGTATAATTTTAATCTCTTACCATGTTTTAACTAATTTATTTACTAGAGTTTTATTTCTTCATTTTTTCATGAATAATAATTATATTTTTAATTAAATTCTATGTTTTTTTAATTTATATTTTGTATTTATAGGTTCCTTATGTTGAGTTTAATGACAAGAAAAAGTTTTACATATATGCATCTAGTTACTTTCTTATATTACTTCGATAAATATCTTCACAAATATCTAAGTGGCGAGAAACAATTGGATGCATCTCTAACAATATGGTCTTTAAACTCTATTTTGTTTAATGATCCAATGATTGGTTAAAAACTTTTAGAATATGAGCACTTATAGGAAATTGAAAATTTTATATGGGTATTCTTAAAGAGTAGCAGATGTTGAGATGGTGTTAATTAAAGACACATAAGCGTACACGGTCACAATTACGTGTATAAATAATACACGGTGATGTAATATTTCAGATTCACTGCAATAGAAAATCCACGCATATGCTACGATAGCGTATCTTCGTCGTTGGGTGAAGATCAGACGCTTGATATTCTGACTTTATCAAATTGGATTAAAAATATGAACACAGAATATGAACTGTTTGATCTTCCTCGAACGACTGGGATCTATTGACTGTAGGAATGGTTTGTCTTGTTATTTATGCTGTCTTAAACTTATAAGAACCTTATTCCACATGAAAACATTTTATAGATTCTGCTCTATTAGAAGCTCACTGTAATTCCATTTCATTGGTTTTTTTGTGACATTGTTATTGCTTTTCTGCAGGATCAAATTGCTGCATATGTTGAGTACTTGATTCAGTTTACATCGGAGCAATTTGCGGACGATATTGCTGAGGTACACCTCTATTTACCGATTAAGCTTGTGAACGCAACTAAAAATATGCTAACTATTTTCATGGATTCAATTCTTAGTGTTATGTTTTGCCTATTTGTTTTTGACATGATAAATCCAAAAGTTTGTATTCATTGCAACTCACTGTTCTGTGTTACTTTGACAGTTGATCCGCAACCGTTACCCGTCGAAGGAAATTCTCCTCTTTGATGATGTTTTGGGTATTTATGCTTTATCCCATGTTAGTTTAAATATTGACTGGGTCAACAAAAATACTACGGCAACAAATTTATTTTCACTTCATGTGTACTAACTTCTCTATTTATTATTTTCACGTGGATTCAGCAACATTTGTCCTTCATCATCCAGAGCATGGTCATGCAGTTGTACTTCCAATTATTTCATGTATTATCGACGGTACACTAGTCTATGATAAGACTAGTCCTCCATTTGCTTCTTTGATATCTCTAGTCTGCCCAAAAAATGAGGTATAAATATATTCTTCGCCCAATATTCTTATCATCTTTGTATATATGTATATTTAATTTCATAGAAATAAGTTTGTGAAATATATTGTTGCTTTCTGTTTCTCATTTTATTAACCAATTATGCATGGCATCTATTCCGCATCAGTGTTTGCAAAGAGGCTATCAATCATTTAATTTCTTCTTTTCGTTGTTTTGCAGAACGAGTATTCAGAACAGTGGGCTCTGGCATGTGGGGAAATTTTGCGTATTTTAACTCACTACAATCGCCCCATATACAAAATGGAAAGGCAATCGAGTGAAACGGAAAGAAGCAGCAGTGGCAGCCTTGCAACAACTAGTAAGCCTCTTAATGGGAAAGCTGTCAACAATGCTTTGGCACAAGAGAAAAAACCTATTAGGCCCCTGTCCCCCTGGATTACCGATATTTTGTTGGCTGCCCCTGTAGGCATTAGAAGTGACTATTTCCGGTGGTAAGTATTTTTGTAAACCTAGTGATTTATGTATGTATTTGTATGCGTTTAGCTCTTCCTGCAAGGTTTAGGGGTGCATGATAAATTTTGGTTCAGTTTAGCGTTTTACCTCAAACTCATGTTGATTTTACTGGTCATAAATTTCAGAAATCAATGATAAAACAGCTTAATTTATTTGTATTGCTTCTTTTTGTTTATCATAATATAATGTGTTATGCTTTCCAGTTCCATGCATAATTTTGACGATGTTAACAAATATTTCCATGCATTAACAGGTGTAGTGGTGTTATGGGCAAATATGCTGCAGGAGAACTCAAGCCTCCATCAACTGGTACTTTATTTTTTTAATAACTATTACAGATTACTGTTCTTTCGTTGGATTATGTTTTCTTTACAAAAGTATAAACAGATATATCAGAAAATTTGAGACATTTCTTCAGAAATTAGAAATTTTTGTTAGGTTGAATGATTATTTTGTAACACTTAAATCTAGTTAAACTACTGCTACACTCAAAAGGTTTTTATTGCCACGGGCTATAGTGTAGGTCTCGGGTTAATTATGCACATAGAATTAGGCATTTGTGCTCTCAATCTCTGTGTTTATCTCCTCCTTTTTAATTTCTAATGCCTTCCCTCCTCTATCACTACCTGGCTAGCCTGCCACTTTATCAGCTAATTGATTTTTATTCATCAAAACCAAGATTATCATTTGCTAATTTCCCATTGATTCCTGTATTTTTGTTCTGATTTTTCTTTTTCTCTTAGCTTCTTCCCGTGGTTCTGGGAAGCATCCTCAACTCGTGCCTTCGACTCCGAGATGGGCTGTTGCTAATGGTGCTGGTGTTATACTAAGTGTTTGTGATGATGAAGTTGCTCGCAATGAAACTGCTATTTTAACAGCAGCTGCTGTTCCTGCACTATTGCTTCCTCCTCCAACCACAGCTCTGGATGAGCATCTTGTTGCTGGATTGCCAGCTCTAGAGCCATATGCACGTTTATTTCATAGGTTATTTTCATTTTCACCTTGAGGCCTTTCTTGTTACTTAGTTATTCATAGTATTCATCTGCCTGAGAAAATGTGTATGCCTAAATTTTGCAGATATTATGCAATTGCTACTCCAAGTGCTACACAAAGACTTCTTCTAGGACTTCTAGAAGCACCCCCGTCCTGGGCTCCAGATGCACTTGATGCTGCTGTGCAGCTTGTGGAGCTTCTTCGAGCTGCTGAAGAGTATGCTTCTGGCATAAGGGTAAGTAAGACAGAGAATAGCTGTGATGCTGGCATTAATGGTAACCAACATTATTATTATGGGGTTTCATTAATAAGTTTTGAATGGAAAGTATAAAACTAAATTAGTTGGTCATTCATGAGATAACACACGGTGCTTGTCTCCGGTTGTGCATTGGTTCATTTTTTATGGTCGAATATTTGGTCTAATCTTAGATTTTCTTCTACTTTTTTGGATTGGGGCGAAAAATTTAACTGCTCTACCTATAGGCGTATGCATGAGTTTGGACTTTGGAGGGACAATTTTTACTTTTAAGTAACATACCTCTTATTTAAATTTTTTTCTTTAAAATAACAGATTATCAATGTGCATATTATTTAGTACATGTTAAATGTGCATAGATAGCCCAACTCCTTTTAATTTTTAATTTTTAATTATTTAAGTATGGTAAATTAGGATTCTAGGTTAAAATTAATATACTAGCAGTAACTAACGTTAGTTGTCACTTGTTAGTAATTGAAAACCACCCTAACTGAAAATTAGCAGAACCTGTAATACTGACTGATTACAATGCAGAACAGAATGATAGCATCCACACTGCATTCTGCTACATTAATCCTTCTCTGAACAAATGCAGCATGTTATATACATTATTTATGTGCATCTGAGTGTGATTGGATGCTACAGGATGACATGCTCTTATGGATTTTGATGTGTTTTTTCTTTTCTATGTTGATACAGCTACCTAGAAATTGGATGCATTTGCATTTCTTGCGTGCAATAGGGACTGCAATGTCCATGAGAGCTGGCATAGCTGCTGATGCTGCAGCTGCTTTGCTTTTCCGTATACTATCACAGCCAGCATTGCTTTTTCCTCCACTTAGACAAGTTGATGGAGTTGAAGTTCAGCATGAACCTTTGGGTGGTTATATTTCATCCTACAGCAAGCAGATAGAAGTTCCTGCTGCTGAGGCTTCTATTGATGCTACTGCCCAAGGCATTGCATCAATGCTGTGTGCTCATGGTCCAGAAGTTGAATGGAGAATTTGCACCATTTGGGAAGCTGCTTATGGCCTGATTCCTGCTAATTCCTCAGCTGTTGATCTTCCAGAAATAATAGTTGCTGCCCCACTCCAACCGCCCATACTTTCGTGGAATTTGTATATACCTTTACTTAAGGTCCTGGAATATCTTCCTCGAGGAAGCCCATCAGAAGCATGTCTTATGAAAATATTTGCTGCTACAGTGGAAGCCATTCTTCAGAGGACATTTCCACCCGAATCCAGTAGTGAACAAAACAGAAAAGCAAATCACCTCTTTGGCATTGGTTCAGCCTCTAAAAACCTTGCCGTGGCAGAACTTCGCACTATGGTTCATTCACTTTTTTTAGAATCATGTGCTTCTGTAGAGCTTTCTTCCCGTCTACTTTTTGTTGTTTTGACCGTCTGTGTCAGTCACGAAGCCCAATTCAGCGGAAGCAAGAAGCCTAGAGGTGAAGATAATATTTCAGTTGAGGAAATCATTGAAGACTTACAAGCAATATCTGAAATCCGGAAAGAAAGAAAAAATAGGAAAGTGAAGAAGCAAGGTCCTGTAGCAGCATTTGATTCTTATGTTATGGCTGCTGTTTGTGCTCTTGCCTGTGAGCTTCAGTTGTTTCCTTTGCTTTCACGGGGAAATAATCATTCACTTTCCAATAATGGGCAAGATATAGCTAAGCCTGTTACACTTCATGGATCATCCCAAGATTTGCAGAATGGTCTCGAATCAGCAGTCCGCCATACTCACAGAATTTTAGCTA